ATATATATATATATATATGCATGTGATGTGTATATGCCTGAGTGTGTGAGTATATATAGATGTGTGTGTATATATATATATATATATATATATATTACAAAAAAAAAAAAATTACCTCAACATAAAAGATAGTCTATTTCAAGTAGTTCTGTACACGGCTGTCATCAGCCCCTAAGTGTCTGACTCTAAGCATTGTTTTAAATTTATTTTCAATGTCAATCCTCCTCTGTTAGATGCCTTGTTAAAGAGAATGAGTTTGTGTTAGTGATTGGTGGGGGCGTAAGTTATCTTATCCCAAGTGGGGAAGTGGTCTGAGTTTATTTATGGCCAGGATTTGTTGTTTGTAGTATAATACCAGTTCCTACTATGTGGCATTTCTTATAAAAGTTCCAAGTGTGTTTTTCTGGGTTTCATAGTAAATAGATTTTGTACTACAGATGTCCAATATTATTAATAAGTAATGGGGGATTTAAACTTAAACCCATTAAGATTAATGTAAATTAGTTGAGTTATAGATGTATGTATATATGTAAATGTACATATATGTATGTATGAAGATATGTATGCATATAAGTGTGTTAGCATGATTTATTCCATTGGGTGCTCTGATATTACAATCTATAAGTCTATAACTCAACTAATATATATACATATATAAAAAATGGTATATTTAAACGGAAATCTTTTGTTTAAATCACATTGATAGCACATGTTCTCATTCAACCACTGGAGTTAAGCAATGTCAAACTCAGTCAGTACTTAGATGGGAACCACTTGGGAACATACTTTAAGCAGCCTCCTACAATCTGAAATATCTTTCTACTTTAAGTAACACACAAAAGGTTGATAAGCTGTAAAAAATCAGTCAGTCAATCAATATTGTACAAAAAAGCAGATCAGCCCAAGAGTGGAGTATTGCTTTCATATTTGGACAGGAGCTGCCTAGTCCACACTTTCCAGTCGCAATACAGTCTAAAAGCATCTCCAAGTCCTTCTGAGTGAGAAATTATTTTCCACCCTTCAACCGCTCTCTTACAGGCAGGATATGGCAAGTTTGTCACTGTTCTATCACTAATTCCATGGAAAGTGATCAGACAAACTACAAACCTTGATCCACCTGTCCAAACCTTCATGGCTAGGACTCACAATGTCACTTACACTTTAGCAAATCATCCACATTCCCTCTTTATTCCATCAGTGAGAAGTAAACTCCACTCAAACAGCTTCTTAGAACAGAATCCCAAGAGGATGTTTCCCCAATAACTATAATCTTAACCTGTTCAAGTCTAGGGTTAACTGTTATCTTTCCCTCCTATCCGTATAAACTACCCCTTAACGTAACCCTCTAACTTAAGTTGCCTCTGGGCCTTGTACACAGTGAACCACACTTTAAAAATAAAAGTCAGACAAGTAATGTCTGCTCAGCCTTTTCGTGAGTATTTCCTGTTGCCAATTATGTTGTTTAATTTTATATGGAAGCTAGTAAAGTAACTTGCCAAAATTGTGTTTTATGACTTAAGTAATTTCAACAATTGATGGTCATTTTCATAGAAAGAAGGTAGTTGTCAAAAGATTTCCAGTGGAACCTTTATTTTGTTAAGATTCTGGAGTTGGAATCAAAATGGGTTCATGTACTATGGTGATGGAATAAAATGAGTTGATAGTTCAAAGGCATTCAAGATTGAAACAAATTTTTATTGATAACAGACTGCTCTTTTTCAGTGTTATATTTAATATATATTTAGGCCATGATCCTTTATTTAAACATGTCATATAACAAACAATGAATACAGAGACTTTTGAGGAGTTTCTCCTGATGTCAAATAAGTCATTCAATGCCTGGTAGAAACTTGTAAAAGATCTTGCTGAAATGTGTAATGTTTTAAGTACTTTCAATGATTAGTTGTTGTTCTTTTCAAGGCAACAAGGTAAAACTTGATAAATAGACAGTTTACTATTTTTGTTGTTAATGTTTGAAACAAACATGAGTTTAAATATGATTGAGATTAGATTTTAATGTTATATTGTTAAAATGACTTTACAGTTTATAAGCATTTCAACATATGTGCACCTAGACTGAAACAAATTTTATTGATGATGGATTGCCTTATTTTGATGTGAAGGACTTAAAAAATGTTTAATCCTGTTTTGCAGCTGTACTGGCAAATTACTTTTGTATTGTTGACCAAAATCTGATAGAAATGAGAAGTAATACCATGAATTTGTCTTAAATGTTTATATATGGCAGTTTGTTCAAGGAGATGACAGATCAATCTTCTCATAAGAAATGCTGTGG